ATGATGTTTGCTGTGGGTTTGTCCTCTATGGCCTTTATTATGTTGAGGTTGGTTCCCTCTATGCCTGCTTTCTGGAGAGTTTTTATCATAAATCGGTGTTGATTTTTGTTAAAAGCGTTTCCTGCATCTACTGAGATGATCATATGGTTTTTATTCTTCAGTTTGTTAATATGGTGTATCACATTGATTGATTTGTATATATTGAAGAATCCTTGCATCCCTGGGATAAATCCCACTTGGTCATGGTGTTTGATCCTTTTCATGTGTTGTTGGATTCCGTTTGGTAGTATTTTGTTGAGGATTTTTTCATCTATATTCATCAGTGATATTGGTCTGTAATTTTCTTTTTTTGTAGTATCTTTGTCTGGTTTTGGTATCAGGCTGATTGTGGCCTCATAGAATGAGTTTGGGAGTGTTCCTACTTCTGTGATTTTTTGGAAGAGTTTGAGAAGGATAGGTGTTAGCTCTTCTCACAGTGTTTCATAGAATTCACCTGTGAAGCCATCTGGTCCTGGACTTTTGTTTGTTGGAAGATTTTTAATCACAGTTTCAATTTCATTACCTGTGATTGGTCTGTTCATATTTTCGATTTCTTCCTGGTTCAGTCTTGCAAGGTTGTACCTTTCTAAGAGTTTGTCCATTTCTTCCAGGTTGTCCATTTTATTGGCATAGAGTTGCTTGTAGTAGTCTCTTAGGATGCTTTGTATTTCTGTGGTGTCTGTTGTAAGTTCTCCTTTTTCATTCTAATTTTATTGATTTGAGTCCTCTCCCTCTTTTTCTTGATGAGTCTGGTTAAAGGTTTATCAACTTTGTTTATCTTCTCAAAGAACCAACTTTTAGTTTTATTGATCTTTGCTATTGTTTTCTTTGTTCTTATTTCATTTATTTCTGCTCTGATCTTTAAGATTTCTTTCGTTCTGCTAACTTTGGGTTTCCTTTGTTCTTCTTTCTCTAGTTCCTTTAGGTGTAAGGTTAAATTGTTTATTTGAAATTTTTCTTGTTTCTTGAGGTAGGCTTGTATAGCTATAAACTTCCTTCTTAGAACTGCTTTTGCTGCATCCCATAGGTTTTGGGTCACCATGTTTTCATTGTCATTTGTCTCTAGGTATCTTTTGACTTCCTCTTTGTGTTCTTCACTGATCTCTTGGTTATTTAGTAATGTATTGTTTAGCTTCCATGTGTTTGTGTTTTTTATGTTTTTTCCCCTGAAATTCATTTCTAATCTCATAGCATTGTGGTCAGAGAAGATGCTTGATATGATTTCAATTTTCTTAAATTTACTGAGGCTTGATTTGTGACCCAAGATGCGATCTATCCTGGAGAATGTCCCATGAGCACTTGAGAAGAAAGTGTAATGTGCTGATTTTTGTTGGAATGTCCTATGAATATTAAATACATCTTTCTGGTCTGTTGTGTCATTTAAAGCTTCTCTTTCCTTATTTATTTTCATTTTGTTGATCTGTCCATTGTTGTAAGTGAGGTGTTAATGTCCCCCAGTATTATTGTTTTACTGTCGATTTCCTCTTTTACAGCTGTTAGCATTTGCCTTATGTATTGAGGTGCTCCTGTGTTGGGTGCATGTATATTTATAATTCTTATATCTCCTTCTTGGGTTGATCCCTTTGATCATTATGTAGTGTTCCTCCTTTTCTCTTGTAACTTTTTTTTTGTGGTACGTGGGCCTCTCACTGTTGTGGCCTCTCTCGTTGCAGAGCACAGGCTCCGGATGTGCAGGCTCAGAGGGCATGGCTTATGGGCCAAGCCGCACCATGGTATGTGGGATCCGCCCAGACCGGGGCATGAACCCGTATCCTCTGCATTGGCAGGTGGACTCTCAACCACTGCGTCACCACAGAAGCCCCCAACATTCTTTATTTTAAAGTCTATTTTATCTGATATGAGTATTGCTACTCCAGCTTTCTTTTGATTTCCGTTTGCATGGAATATCTTTTTCCATCCCCTCATTTTCATTCTGTATGTGTCCCTAGGTCTGAAGTGGGTCTCTTGTAGACAGCATATATATGGGTCTTTTTTTTGTATCCATTCCACAAGCCTGTGTCTTTTGGTTGGAGCATTTAATCCATTCACATTTAAGGTAATTATCGATATGTATGTTTGTATGACCATTTCCTTAATTGTTTTTGGTTTGTTTTTGTAGGCCCTTTTCTTCTCTTGTGTTTCTCACTTAGGGAAGTTCCTTTAGCATTTGTTGTAGAGCTGGTTTGGTGGTGCTGAATTCTCTTAGCTTTTGCTTGGCTGTAAAGCTTTTGATTTCTCCATCGAATCTGAATGAGGTCCTTGCCGGGTAGTGTAATCTTGGTTATAGGTTCTTCCCTTTCATCACTTTAAGTATATCATACCACTCCTATGTGGCTTGTAGAGTTTCTGCTGAGAAATCAGCTGTTAACCTTACAGTAGTTCCCTTGTATATTATTTTTTGTTTTTCCCTTGCTGCTTTCAATAATATTTTAAAAATTTATTTATTTTTGGCTGCGTTGGGTCTTCATTGCTGCATGCGGGCTTCCTCTAGTTGCAGTGAGGTGGGGCTACTCTCCGTTGTGGTGCGCGGGCTTCCCATTGCGCTGGCTTCTGTTGTTGCAGAGCACAGGCTCTAGGCATGTGGGCTCAGTAGTTGTGGCTTGTGGGCTCTAGAGCGCAAGCTCAGTGGTTGTGGCACACGGGCTAGGTTGCTCCACGGCATGTGGGATCTTCTCGGACCAGGGCTCGAGCCTGTGTCCCTTGCATTGACAGGCGGATTCTTAACCACTGTGCCACCAGGGACGCCCCAAAATTTTTCTTTGTCTTTAATTATTGCCAATTTGATTACTATATGTCTCGGCATGTTTCTCCTTGGGTTTACACTGTATGGGACTCGCTGCATTTCCTGGACTTGGGTGGCTATTTCCTTACCCATGTTAGGGAAGTTTACGACTGTAATCTCTTCAAATATTTTCTCGGTTCATTTCTCTCTCTCTTCTCCTTCTGGGACCCCTATAATGTGAATGTTTTTGTGTTTAATGTTGTCCCAGGGTTCTGTTAGGCTGTCTTCATTTCTTTTCATTCTTTTTCTTTATTCTGTTCCGCAGCAGTGAATTCCAGCATTCTGTCTTCCAGGTCACTTATCTGTTCTTCTACCTCAGTTATTCTTCTATTGATTCTTTCTAGTGTAGTTTTCCTTTCAGTTAATGTATTGTTCTTCTCTGTTTGTTTGTTCTTTAATTCTTCTAGGTCTTTGTTAAACGTTTCTTGCATCTTCTCGGCCTCCATTCTTTTTCCAAGGTCCTGGATCATCTTCACTATCATTATTCTGAATTCTTTTTCTGGAAGGTTTCCTATCTGCACTTCATTTAGTTGTATTTTGGGGGTTTTATCTTGTTCCTTCATCTGGTACATAGCCCTCTGCCTTTTCATCTTGTCTGCCTTTCTGTGAATGTGGTTTTTGTTCCACAGGCTGCAGGACTGTAGTTCTTCTTGCTTCTGCTGTCTGTTCTCTGGTGGATGAGTCTCTCTAAGGGGCTTGTGCAGGTTTCCTGATGGGAGGGACTGGTGGTGGGTTGAGATGGGTGTTTGCTGTGGTGGGCAGAGCTCAGTAAAACTTTAATCCACTTGTATGCTGATGGGTGGGGCTGTGTTCCCTCCCTGTTGGTTGTTTGGCCTGAAGCAATCCAACATTGAAACCTACCTGGGCTCTTTGTTGGGGCTAATGGCAGACTCTGGGAGGGCTCACACCAAGGAGTACTTCCCAGAACTTCTGCTGCCAGTGTCTCCATCCCCACGTTAAGCCACAGTCACCCCCCGCCTCTGCAGGAGACCCTCCAACACTAGCAGGTAGGTCTGGTTCAGTCTCCTATGGGGTCACTGTTCCTTCCCCCGGGTCCTGATGCACACACTACTTTGTGTGTGCCGTCCAAGAGTGGAGTCTCTGTTTCCCCCAGTCCTGTCAAAGTCCTGCAATCAAATCCCACTAGCCTTTAAAGTCTGATTCTCTAGGAGTTCCTCCTCCTGTTGCCAGACCCCCAGCTTGGGAAGCCTGACGTGGGGCTCAGAATCTTCATTCCAGTGGGTGGACTTCTGTGGTATAAGTGTTCTCCAGTCTGTAAGTCACCCACCCAGTAGTTATGGTATTTGATTTTATTGTGATTGCAACCCTCCTACGATCTCATTGCGGCTTCTCCTTTGTCTTTGCATGTGGGGTATCTTTTTTGGTGAGTTCCAGTGTCTTCCTGTCAATGATTGTTCAGCAGTTAGTTGTGATTCTGGAGTTCTCAGAAGAGGGAATGAAAGCATGTCCTTCTTCTCCGCTATCTTGGTTCAGGCTCCCAAGCTCGCAAATCCCTGCTCACATATTGTATCTCTCTCTGGGACACTTCTCCACCCCTTAGAGATTACCTTTTTTTTTTTTTTGCGATATGTGGGCCTCCCACTGTCGCGGCCCCCCCCGCTGCTGGACGCGCAAGCTCAGCGCCCATGGCCCACGGGCCCAGCCGCTCCGCGGCATGTGGGATCCTCCCGGACCGGGGCACGAACCCGCATCCCCTGCATCGGCAGGCGGACTCCCAACCACCGCGCCACCAGGGAGGCCCGAGATTACCTTTTAAAGGTTGTGATTAACTGTAAAACTCAGGATTTAAAGTGTCTTTAGGGAACTTCCTAGTAGCAGATGTTACTGGGCAGGAAGAGAGCAGCCTATGGTGGCATTATGTGGGTCTGTCACTCAGTCTCTTCTTCCCTCTTCTCAGCGGTCTGCCGGTCTTCCGTGATTTCATTCGAAGATTAGACAGGGGCCTTCGGACTTCATGGTCACGTGTGTAAACTAATTTGAAATCCGAGGACGGAAAAGCAGGGACCAGTGCAAGTAGTAATAGTGTCTTTCCATGGAGGGGGCGTTTAGAAGTATTATAACAAACAAATACATTTTGCTTAATTTTGTAAGACCAGTTTTTGGTATTTTGAGTATTCCTTATTTTATATCTAACTGTGATGTCTCTCTTGCCCCTCAGGAAGTTTGTGACATGAAATCTGAGGGTCAGGCCATTGTCATTCAGCAGCTGGAGCAGACCATTGAGGATCTGAGGACCAAAATAGCTGAGCTAGAGAAGCAGTACCTGGCCGCAGACCTGGAAGCGGCCACCTCTGGAGACACGTGTGTGCGAGCTCTCAGTTTGGGAGAAAAGGAAGTAGGACATCAAAGGATTTTACAGGCAAAGTCCATCCAGACGTCCTCGACAGAGGAGGGTGGGACACTGACACATCCTTCCATGGGTGCCTTGCCTGAGGCCACGAGTGGAGACTCAGCCGGGCTGTCCTCACCTCCTGGACCTCAGAACAAGTTCTGCGCAGAGATTTCTTTGGTTGTGTCTCCAAGGCGAATATCAGTTCAGCTCGATGCACATCCATCCCTCCAGGCTCCACCACCCACGTCACCGCCCTGGTCTGACGGTCAAGGACAGGCGAGCTCACAGCCTTCCCATCCTTCTTTTCACATGGAGTTTGAAACCAGCCACGAGCACTCTGCTTTCCCCTCCTCTGAAAACAGCCATGACATCCCCACTGCACTGCCTTTGTCTCCCAAATTCTCCCACCAGATGCCTGGTCTGGGCACTGTGGCTCCTCCACGGACCCCACCCCATGTCGTGCCTGAGCCCGCACTTCCCAGCCCACCGTGCCCCTCACCTCCTCCTCCGCCTGGTCCAGAGATGCTGCCACCCTGTCCCCTACCTTTGCCTGGTGAGGGAATTCCTTCTGCCCCGCCTCTTCCCACAGTAGGAATTCCGCCCGCCCCCC